CTAAACTAATGAATGGACTTCTATTAGCGGTGCACTATTTTTGGGATACTATTCAGTATGGCTGTATGCGGTTTCGGACGGAGCCCATGAATCACGTTAGAAGTAAATAATCGTGGTTATCAAGTCGCATAAACTTTCCGTACTCTCACCTTCGATGGCGATGACGTGCTCCCGGATCTGGTTCTGCAGCAGAGGCTCATCGACCCGCTCCAGGAGCTCGTAGATGGAGTAGATGTTGGGATGGACGGACTCGAATCTCTGGATCTCAGCCCGGATAGCTGCTGAGTTCGCGAGGTGCTGCTGATAATTCATCTCGCCGAAACGGGCTCCTCTGCTCGACGAAGGGAAAGTGGATATGTTTACATGCGCTGCGTGACAGATCCCCGCCGCACGAACTAAGCCATCCTCGGCGAGCCGAGCTAAAAGCCTGGCGTTTGTCGATACGAGCTGGATTACAACAGCAACAGCAGTCGGAGGAGGCGGCAGCAGCTGGAGACGGGAATGGGAAACGAGTTAGCGCGGAGAGGCTAACGAACCGGCTAGCAGCGGCTTCCAAAGGCGGTCGCGCGGCAGCAACGTCTCCACAGAGCGGTGAGGGAGGACGGCGGAGGGAGGTTGGGAGCTCTCCCGATGTGAGACCGCGGCTGGAGCGAGAGTTGGAGACGGTGAGCTAGGCACGGTTTCCCCATATCCTCCACTCCGCCTCCGGAGCAGGGAAAGGAAACAAAAAAATAATAAAAATAATAATAATAACACCCAAAAAACCGCGACGGGGAAAACTGCAGAGCCCGAAAATCACCGAGTGTTTGTCATAACTGGCTAACAGGCGAGCTAGGTTAGCTAAGTTGAGGGGAAAGATAAGAACAACAGGCCCTCTCAACCCCCAGTCTGAGGAGAAAAAGTACCAGCGGGCGGCTCTAGCCCTCCGCGGTGTCCTCGGTACACCGTCCTCGGTCAAACCGGCGAAAAAAGTAAGGCGAAAAATGAGCGGAACAACTCGGGAAAGGGCGGCGAACGAGCTCGGCTTCCCTCCGCCGCTAGCGGGCTTTAGCCACCGCAGTCAGTCAGTCAGTCCGCTCGCGCTCCCTCTCTCTGCGCTCGTGTTGTTCACTTTGCTAGCTCGCGCTGGCTGACAACAGCCGCTGAAACCCGTCTGCCCGGCGCGGACCCGCGAAAAGACCGACGAGGAGCGGGACACGTAACCTATCCCTCTGTCCACGACGCGGTTTCCACTTATTTCTCTGTCGGCGCGCGTTCCCCTCCGTTCCTCCCGCGGCGCGCTCCTCTCCCGGCCGTATCCTTCTCAAACATCATTGCGCGTGCTCGAGCCCCGGGACGCTTCCCTGCTGGACAAAACGTCGACGGGCAAAGGCTGCGCCGATCCTGCGCAGTGCGTGCAGTGCGCACGTAGCGACAAAGGGGGCGCGCTCGTGTACAGATGCGAGCGTTGCAGACAGTGCAAGTGTTTCCCAAAGGGGAACTCCACCGATTTTTCAAAATTTCTGAACAATTCAGTCCTTGAGGTGTAAATAGGTTCATTCAGAGTGGTTGTGAAGTGGCCCATTGTAGAGAAACGTACAGAGTGATTTCTTTACATTGGTGGTGATGGGAACCAGGGGTCACAACGTCTATAACGCAAATATAGACATTTTATTTACCATTCAAAACCACCAATGAACCTGTCTACTACTTTTATGTAACACACACACACATCGTCTAAACCACCTATCCTTCTGGGTCACAGGGGGTGCTGGAGCCTATCCCAACTGTCATTGGGCAGAAGGCAGGATACACCCTGGACAGGTTGCCAGTCCATCGCAGGGCAGACAGACAGACATATACATTCACACCTAGGGGCAATTAACATGCCCAGTTGGCCTGATTGCATGTCTTTGGACTGTGGTAGGAAACCCACGCAGACACAGGGAGAACATGCAAACTCCACCCAGAAAGGACCCTGGTCGCCCGGCCAGGAATCGAACCCAGGCCCTTCTTGCTGTGAGGCGACAGCGCTACCCACTGCGCCACCGTGCTGCCGTGTTTAATCAACATATTGATTAAAATATGTTTTAGATCAAAACCTTATCACAAAACTACTCGAAAACAATGTCTCAAACATCATAACCATTTCATATAATAACTTTCTGTGAGGAAGCTTTTAGAGGCATTAAGCTCCTCAGATGTCTGGTTCCTATCACCACCACTGTGAACGATTCTGAGTCGGTAAGTTTCTTTAGTACTGAGCATTTCACACCAAACCCATAACCATTTAATTATGTCAAACTCTGGAAAAATTGGTGGAGTTCCCCTTTGAGCCTGCTCTTGGTGTCCCAAAGCATTCCAAGGTTTCAAGTATTTCTTGACTCAGCACAGCTTATCCAGCTCATCAGCTCACTATTGAGCCCTTCATGAGCTCAGTCAGGTGTGCTGGGAAAGGGAATGGTTGAACCTGTGCAGTGCTGTGGGTGGCCAGCAGCGTGATTAAAGGACATGATTCAAAATTTCTGCATAAATTAAATGGTTGCGATGTAAACACAGTCTTTTGGTGTAGTTTGATGTGAAATGTGTCGTTCTAGAAAATGCATCCTGTGTCAGAATTGATCTCAGACCATTGATGGTGAAAGAAACCAGACGTCTGTGTGTTTATTTACTCCATGACATGTTTACACATGTGATGTCTGATGCCTGCGACACTGTTTTACAATAGCTTTGTGATTTATTTATTAATTCATTCATTTTTTGGTCCTAAAACATGTATTTTTTAACCACTTCATGGTGGAGAGGTACATGCAAGGCATTGCAAGACAAAATAGTCTGTAAGTCACATCACTATATTACCTCTCCTGTTAATACAGACTGTGCAACATATCATAACCTGCTACTGCAATGACACTTTCACTATGCACTTTAGACTGTAAACACTGCTGCTACTCCTAGTTATGTTTATATACATTGTGTTGTCACTACCTCGTACTACTTAGTGCAATACCTGCTTTCATGTAAATACAACTAATCTGTCTTATATGCCATGTAAATATGCAATAGATATACTTATTCCTACTCTCTCATAGTTTACTTTAATTAATGTCTATTTCCTATTTCTGCCTAATGTATGTAAGTTAATGTGCAATTATATGTCTTATATGTCTACCGTAACAATAAAGTACAATAAAGTTCTATCTATCTATCTATCTATCTAACTGTTTTGTTTTTTTTTTAGATTTACTACCATTTTAACAATACAACATAATATATGTTCGAAAAATACTAGAAGAATATGTAGGTCCACTGGTCATTTTGGTAAAAAATAAAATGGCTATATTTGCTTGTGTCACCACCACTGTAAAGAAATTTGAACTGTTAAGTTTCTTCACAAAGCACCTTATCATATCAGACCAGTCTGAATGACTTTGTCCATGTCTCACTGAATAAATTATTCATAATTTTAGAAAAATCAGTAGAAATGCTGCATAAGGCTGGTGCAGTGATGCCCAGCTCCAGTAATGCAGTCCATCTGCACAGTCTGATAATAATGTTATGTATTTTATCCATAATGTTTTAAACTACATTCTAAATGTTGATGTTTTTAAGAGCTGAAATGTGCAATATGGTGTCAACCTTTCTTTTAGCCATCACTTGCCATTCACTTAGCACTTGGAGTAAGCCTAGTCCTTTATTTGTATATGATATCCAAAAGGTTTAATGCTCCATTCAAGTGGAGTCGGAAACTGGGAAAAATCAATTTACCTACTTGTAAAAGTAGCTGACGACGTCATATTTACAAGTGGGAAACTTGGGACTCCAGATGATGCAGGGGTTTACCAAATGTGACGTATAAGGCAACCTTTTAGCTTTTCTGGCAGAAAAAAAAACAGTAAACCTGGCTGTGCATGTGAAACAAATACACCTGATGCATACTCTGTGGGACTTTGTTTACCCACATCTATGTGCTTTTTAATATAGTACCGGAAAAGCAAAATACATGTTCTCTGGATGTATTTACTAGTTAACCATCTGGTGTATATACAGCCCTCCAATGAGCACCAGAATGCAGAATTAGTGTTCCAGAAAAGTCCCCCACATGAGATCACTCACTTTCATTCATTAGAGAGTATTTCACTACATACTAGGACTCAATATGAGAATCAACCACAAGCCTTTTTGAGCTGAATCGGCTGTATTAGAGCAGGAAAAGCAAGAAACTGTGCTCTGTAGGAGGACCTACAGGACAGGAGTTGAGAAATACCATCTAGTGCATATGCACACAGGCAGAGAGCACATAAGTACTCTGAAAAACAACATGGTCGACTAACGCAATACATATACTAGTATACAAAACAGGTCTGCTAGAATCCTTTTAAAACACAGTATGTACACTTTAGATCCACGTGCTGGAATGATCCTTTCTGTGAATTAACATCAGTTTGTTCACTACTTATGAAAAGGCAGTTTGCATTAGGAAAAGTAAACATTTGAATGAAGCTCACAGAATCTTAATATCTCATAATCTACACCGATCAGGCATAACATTATGAGATAGATGATAGATGTAAAGTCAGAGACGATAGCTCATCTGCTGCTGCACAGTTTGTGTTGGTCATCCTCTAGTCCTTCATCAGTGGTCACAGGACGCTGCCCACAGGATGCTGTCGGCTGGATATTTTTGGTTGGTGGACTATTCTCAGTCCAGCAGTGACACTGAGGTGTTTAAGACTTCCAGCAGCACTGCTGTGTCTGATCCAGTCAGACCAGCGCAACACACACTAACACATCACCACCACGTCAGTGTAACTGCAGTGCTGAGAATGATCCACGACCCAAATAGTACCTGCTCTGTGGGGGTCCATTGGGGTCCTGACCACTGAAGAACAGGGTAAAAGGGGGCTAACAAAGTATGCAGAGAAACAGATGGACTACAGTCTGTAACTGTAGAACTACAAAGTGCACCTATATAGTAAGTGGAGCTGATAAAATGGACAATGAGCGTAGAAACAAGGAGGTGGTCATAATGCTATGCCTGATGGGTGTATATAGAATTTATATAATTTCTACTACAGCAAAATAAAGCAAAATGCTATATTACTTGTATTAATTCTATGAATTAGCCTGTAGTAGCACGTATATTACTACATATTGACTGAACTATACTTATGGGGCCAGTTTCCTAGACATCAATTGGGCCTAATCTTGGACTAAACTGCCGTGCTAATGGTGAATCACCATTGGAGGTTTTCTGTAGTCTAGATTTAGGCTTAATGTAAAGGTGTAAAGGTCTAGGAAACTGGCCCTAATATTCATTTTTTTATTTCTTACACTGTTTTCACAGGACTTGGCTGCTGTAAATACATGCTTGTAGCATTATGCAGCTTCTCGATTGATCTCGTTCTATCAGCTGTGATCTGAAGTACTGCTAGGAAGTAGCTCCTTCACTGCTTTGCCACCTGAGCCTCAAGTACCAAAAATGATACAGGTACTTGACTTGCATTGTTCAGTTCAAGTCCCATCCTCTTCATCCCATGGTGTCCGTAACCCTCATCCCATCCACAAGCAGAGAGTGGATTATTCCATTTCTTTTCTTCCCGGTGCTGGTAGCTTTTATGCAACACTCATGGTTCCCCACCGCAAAGTGTGTCTCGGTGCCGTCATCTGCAAACTCCCCCTGTTCAAACCACAGTAAAAGCTGTGAATGCAATAAGCTATGAAAGCACACCACATATTAATACCCTGCCAGGACAATTGCATCTGCAATTGCAGTTGTATCTGATTATAACTATTCATTACTGTACGACGACTGATAAATAATTTGCATGATTATATAGAACCATGCAAAAGTCAGAGACCACACTTCATTGATTAAATTTCCAGTCAAAAGTCATTAAATCGAAATTCAACCAATTTTTCGAAATGTATGTATAATTCAATATCTCACATTAATCAAAGTCAAAGAGTTTGATGTGAAATTATCATTTTTAGAGATATTTGCCAACTCTGATTTTCTTCACAGTGGTGATAAGAACCAGGGGTCGAAATGTCTACAACACAAATATAGTCATTTTCTTTACGACCCAAAACCACCAGTGAACCTAAACATGCCTTCTGGGTTTCTAAATATGCTTGTGTATGTATATGTTTTCTTTAGGTATCATTTTGCTTCACAGGGTCTTGCACATACCTCTACACCATGAATAGATGAACAGAAAAATATAACCCCATTTCCAAAAAAGTTGGGACGCTGTGTGAAATGTAAATAAAATAGAATGCATTGTTGTGTAAATTATGTAAACTCTGTATTCAATAGAAAATAGTAAAAAGACAACATATCAAATGTTGAAACTGAGAAATTGTATTGTTTTTTGAAAAATATTTGCCCATTTTAAATTTGATGCCAGCAACATGTTCCAAAAAAGTTGGGACAGGGCAACAAAAGGCTGGTAAATTTGTGTAATGCTAATAAAAAATACCTGGTGGTTCATTGGCAGCAGGTCAATAACATGACTATGTATCAGAAGTCTTTCAGAAGTAAAGATGAGAAGGGGTTCACCACTCTGTGAAAGACTGCATGATCAAATAGTGCAACAATTCAAGATTAAATTAACATTCCTAAACATAGAATAGCAAAGAACTTGGGAATTCAATCATTTTTTAAAATAAAATATAGGGTTTAATGATTTGCTCATTATTGCACTCTGTTTTTATTTATATTCTGCACAGCATCCCAACTTTTTTGAAAATGGGTTTGTACAATTTAGGCCAAACCCTTATCTCAGAACTATCAAACAATGTATAAAGCATCATTCAAATACTGGTAACAATACTGATGATGTAATAACTTTCTGTGAGGTAGCTCTTAGTCATAGTTGAATAATTCTGACTCAGTAAATTTCTCTACAATGCACCATTTCACATGAAACCACTCCAGATTAGTTTGTTTACTTTTTTAGTTTAATTTAGCTAATTTAGAATTTTTAATCATTTAAATGCAATATTATGTTATGTAGAAATTTGAAAAATCAATGGAATTCCCCTTTAGGTAAAACTTTTTAAAACTATTTATTTTCTAGCTTCATGAAAAAGCAGAAAACATTATTTTAACAGAACATTACAACTAAATATAATATAATATAATATAATATAATATAATATAATATAACATAATACCTATATGGTTTCCATTCTTTTCAGGAGACTTACTTTCATTTTTTCAAAGAATCTGCAGGGATATTTTTCTACACCTCCAAAGTTCAGTCTCAGAACTTAGTTACATTCTCTGGTTTCAGTGGTGTTGAGGTCTGGTCTCTGAGGTCAGTCATTGTTCTGAGAAGACCAGCAGCTTCTTTGTTTGATTTGCAAATGTTCTTCTTTTTTGTTTTATTTCCTTTTTTCAGTGAGGCTTCTTGACTGCAACACATCCTTTTTGCATTGAGCTGTTTTCTCACAGTGGAAGGATGGACAGAAACACCTGTGGATGTTTTCAGATCTGAAGCAGCTTGATTTTCTCCTCTCCCTCAAAGATGAAAGCTTTAAGCGTTGTTTATCTGATGGGGGCAGTTTTGGTGTCTACCAGGTCTGGCCTGGTTGATGGGAGTCTCACTTCTCTGTATCTTTAAAACGTTTTTAGATCTCATGTTTTGGAAATTCCTGTTGTTTAATTTAACTGTCCTCATCCTCATGCAGGTAGATTACCTTATATTTAAACTTCTCAGCAGTATCTCCCAAAAAATTAATAACTTGCAAAAATGGCAGTTTTGACTGGAAATTAAATAAAAAGGGGGGTCTCTGACTTTTGCACAGTGGTGTACTTTTAAGATGTGAAAACAGTGGATCAAGCAGTAACTGAAAAATTGGTAGTTGTTATGTTACCGTGGTTTCCATCCTTTGCCCGTTGCACCAAACATCCATGGTATCTTTCTCTGATAAGTTATAAAAACAAGAATTATTTGGACCAGCTGGTGCTTTATAGAGACATGTAAAACACCCATTAGCACATAGAGCACATACACAGCACTATTAATGTATATATGTATATATGTAGTATACTCGTGACACTTCATGTACACATACTTTAAATATCTGGGATGCTCTATATGTTTGTTCTACATGCTTAAAATCATAGAGCAGACTGTTCCCATGGCTTTAAAGTAAATTAAATATAAATTCCATGGATTTTTTAAACATTCCACATAACTCCAAATATAAACAAAGTCGATCAGAGTGGTTTGATGTTAAATGGTTCATTGTAGAGTCTGATTTCTTTACAGTGGTGTTGATGGGAACCAAGGGTCATCATGTCTACAGTGCAAATATAGCCATTTTATTTACTGTCCACAAATAACCAGTGAGCTTAAATCTTCTTTTTATACAAGGATGATAATGGCAACGGAACATGTGGGTGGAAAAAATTTCATTAGGTTCAATTTGGCCTTATAATGCTGTGCATATATCTCTCCACCAAAAATAGATTATAAAATATATTTTTGCAATTACATCACCTTTATGATGATACAATAATTGCATCATCATTGCATCATCATAAAGGTGATGTAAGTGCATCATCATTGCATCATCATAAAGCTGATATAATTACATCATTATTGCATCATCATAAAGGTGATGTAATTGCATCATTGTTGCATCATCATAAAGGTGATATAATTGCATCATTGTTGCATCATCATAAAGGTGATGTAATTGCATCATTGTTGCATCATCATAAAGGTGATATAATTGCATCATTGTTGCATCATCATAAAGGTGATGTAATTGCATCATTGTTGCGTCATCATAAAGGTGATATAATTGCATCATTGTTGCATCATCATAAAGGTGATATAATTGCATCATCATAAAGGTGATGTAATTGCATCATCATTGCATCATCATAAAGGTGATATAATTGCATCATTGTTGCATCATCATAAAGGTGATGTAATTGCATCATTATTCCATCATCATAAAGGTGATATAATTGCATCATTGTTGCATCATCATAAAGGTGATGTAATTGCATCATTGTTACATCATGATAAAGATGATATAATTGCATCATTGTTGCATCATCATAAAGGTAATGTAATTGCATCATTGTTACATCATGATAAAGATGATATAATTGCATCATTGTTGCATCATCATAAAGGTGATGTAATTGCATCATCATTGCATCATCATAAAGGTGATGTAAGTGCATCATCATTGCATCATCATAAAGCTGATATAATTACATCATTATTGCATCATCATAAAGGTGATGTAATTGCATCATTGTTGCATCATCATAAAGGTGATATAATTGCATCATTGTTGCATCATCATAAAGGTGATGTAATTGCATCATTGTTGCATCATCATAAAGGTGATATAATTGCATCATTGTTGCATCATCATAAAGGTGATGTAATTGCATCATTGTTGCGTCATCATAAAGGTGATATAATTGCATCATTGTTGCATCATCATAAAGGTGATATAATTGCATCATCATAAAGGTGATGTAATTGCATCATTGTTGCATCATCATAAAGGTGATGTAATTGCATCATTATTCCATCATCATAAAGGTGATATAATTGCATCATTGTTGCATCATCATAAAGGTGATGTAATTGCATCATTGTTACATCATGATAAAGATGATATAATTGCATCATTGTTGCATCATCATAAAGGTAATGTAATTGCATCATTGTTACATCATGATAAAGATGATATAATTGCATCATTGTTGCATCATCATAAAGGTGATGTAATTGCATCATTATTCCATCATCATAAAGGTGATATAATTGCATCATTGTTGCATCATCATAAAGGTGATGTAATTGCATCATTGTTACATCATGATAAAGATGATATAATTGCATCATTGTTGCATCATCATAAAGGTGATGTAATTGCATCATCGTTGCATCATCATAAAGGTGATGTAATTGCATCATTATTCCATCATCATAAAGGTGATATAATTGCATCATTGTTGCATCATCATAAAGATGATATAATTGTATCATTGTTGCATCATCATAAAAGTGATGTTATTGCACCACCTTTACAAAAACAATGAAAAATTGAAAAATAGATTCCAGTTCCTACTGAGGTAAAAGTTAGTACCCCCTACACCCTAATAGCTGGTATTATCCCCTTTGGCTGAAATAACCTGAATTAAACATTACCTATAACTCTCTATCAGTCTCTGACATCAACTGGGAGAAACGTTTTCCCCACTCCTCCATGCAGAATTCTTTCAGCTGTGTGATATTTGAGGCGTTTCTTGCATGCACAGCTCGTTTCAAATTACCCATCTCAAGCACTCAGGATCTCAATAGGATTAATAACCAGGCTTTGACTTGGCCTTTACAGAACTCTCCATTTCTTTATTTTGAACCATTCCTTGGTGGATTTACTGGAATGTTTTGTGTCATTGTCATGTTGCGTGGTCCACCTCTGCTTGCGCTTCAGTGTTTGGACTGCTGGTCTCACATTTTCCTCAAGCACCCTCTGATATAATAAAGAATTCACAGTGGATTTTATGATGGAGAGCTTGCCAGGCACTGCTGCAGCAAAGCTGCCCCAAACCATGACATTTCCACCTCCATGCTTTACAGCTGGTATGAGGCTATTGTGTGCAAATGCTGTGCCAAACATGTCTTCTGTCAATGAGCCCAAATAATTCAACTTTGGATTCATCTGTCCAAAGCACATTGTTCCAGATGTCCTGAGGCTGTATACCAGAAACATCTTAAGTCTGAAATCTTATCATATCTGCTTAGTCACCATGGCATGTTAGGACTGAATTTGTGACAGAAGCTATTACAGAATAACAGTTCAGAATCTTATCCATTAACTCCAGATAAGAAAGCAGTATTACACAAACATTCTAACTAGACAGAATTTCCCAACTTCTGTCCTAACTTTAGGATAAACACCAACAGTGTCCTCACTTCTGTTTTCACCATCTGTTTCTATTGTTTTATGCAGTGAGAGGCAGCATAGTTCATTGTAATTAGCATAATGATGCTACATTTATCTATGCTGAAAACGGTGCTTTGACTTGTGAGTTTTTTTTTTTCTAACAGCGTTTTTAAAAATCCCAGGCGCTGCAGACTCGATCTCCACCATCCCCTCTTATTACTTTTGTTTGTTGATGTTTGGTAAAAACTGTCAGATACAGTATAATAGTGATGGTGGTGAATAATAAGGGGACAGAGCTGAACGTGTGTCTGTTTATTAGGAGGAATAACGTTAGCACGCTCGGCTAAAGCGTTTGGGAAATGGAGACTGAAACTGTGGAGCGGCGACGCTCTGAATAAACAGCACAAAGCACTGACACAACATTATTAACTCTCAGTTTATCGCAATTTAGTAACGGTAGCTAACGTTAGCTGTCTGACTAACTATCTTGATTATGTGTTTATGTTTCAGCTGTGTAGGTTGCTAGGTAACAGACATGACAGTTCATGGTCGACTTCAAACGAAGAAGTTAACATTTCCTAACTTCAGATAAGATAAGATGCTGTAAGACAAGATAAGATTCTTAAGTCAAGATAAGATTTGCTTCTGTAATATGAATTTGTGAAAAATCCTATCTTGGCCTTTTAGATCTTAAGAATAAAAGATAGGAAGTTTCTGTTCAGCTCCTGGTCTTTGTTTTCCTCTTTGTGTTCTCTGGCAAACTTTAGTCTCGCCCTGATGTTTTTTTTTGTTTGTTTGTTTTCACAGCAAGGGTATCCTCCTTGCACACCTCCCACGAAAATCAAACTTGTGCTTTCTCTTTCTGATGGTAGATGCATGTATTTAGACATTAACTGTGGAAAGAGCTACCTGTGGGTCTGTGATGACATTTTAGGATTGTTGGAGACTTCTTTATGCATCTTATGGTCTCCTTATGGGCTGAACTTGCTAGGACGGCCTGACCTGGCCATGTTGGCAGTTGTTTTAAATGTTCTCCACTTGTAAATTATTTTCCGGACAGTGGAATGGCTAATGTGATGTTTTGATATCTTTTTAAATCCCTTCCCAAGCTTATATGCATTTGCAACCTTCTCTCTGAAGGCCACAGAGAACTCTTTGGATCTCGCCCACTCACTTCAACAATCAAGAGCGAACTAAACTAAATGTCTGAGGTTTCAATAAGAGAGGCTCCTCTGAAATCCTCTCTAACGATGTTCTAATCATTTGCAGCTGATGTGGTGCACCTGATTCTAATTTTAGGCAATTTAAAGTAGTAATAAACTTTTTCCTCACAAGAAAACTGCATTTCTATTAACTACATTTTACAAAGACATTTCTTCAGTTTTATTTGTGATTTATTCGGAGTGCGGAACGCGCACTCTCCGTTCTTCTAACGCTGGTCTGCTTACCATTCCCTCCTCTAAACGCCACAGCTCTGGTGATCGTGCATTTTCCAGAGTAGCCCTGAGCCTCTGGAAATTATTATTATTATTATTAGTGATTGAGTACCTTCATATCTCAATATTGTTACAATGAAGATCAAATGTCACTATGTTTAAATATGTTTATGGGGTGTCCTAATTTTGCCCTGCGATGGACTGGCGACCTGTCCAGGGTGTATCCTGCCTTCCGCCCAATGACAGCTGGGATAGGCTCCAGCACCCCACCGCGACCCAGAAGGATAAGCGGTTTAGATGATGGATGGATGGATGGATGGGTGTCCTAATTTTTTCACATGACTATGTTTCAGGCCAAAAGCTTATCTAAACCTTGGTGTCAAACAATGTTTCAGGCATTAGGCAGCGTATTTCACTTCATGTAAGAGCTGTAGGTGAAGTAGCTTTCAGAAGCCTTTAACTCTTCTGGTTCCTATCACCACCACTGTAAACAGTTTTAAGCAAGTAAGTTTCTCTAGAATGACACATTTCACACTGAACCACTCTGAATGACTTTGCTTACATCTTAACCATTTAATTATGCAAAAAAATTCAAAAGTATCTTTGGAACTCCGCTTTAACTTATATGAACACAGCACTACTTTGTGAATGGCATAGACAGTTAACTGCTGGTCATTTTATTCCAAACATGTTTTCCTCTCTTACCGAGCACAATCCTGCAGTCCGCACCATCTAGTTTCAGCAGCCAAGTTTTGCATATTTTGGACCGGTTGTCCAAAAATGACTGGAGGCTTTTTCCATTGATTTCCAGAGTATATTCATAAGCAAAGCCAGTGATTGCTTCGATATTTATGGTGGCTTTTGTTCCTGTACTTCCAACTGGGAATGTCTCCTTGCCCACCAGTTTGAACATCCAGTCCCTTCTGAGGACCTCCTTTAAGAAAAAAGATCACCAGTCATTGATCATGTGTTAAATGGGGCAAGAAGGGTTCAATGAATATGTAACATTATTGGACTGTGACACTATTAGACTGTACCTACATGGTTTATTAATGAAGTACAAAGATATATATATATATATATACATAGATAGATAGATAGATAGATAACTCAGAGACCCCCGTTCATGTATTTGTTTTCCCCGCAAAACCATCATTTAGTTAGTGCCAGCGTTCATAGAACAATGGACTGGCCAACTCAGAGTCCAGACCTCAACATCACTGAATGCATGTGGAATTACTTGGATTGTGAGAAGCAAAAAATACAACCAACTTCTAAGACTGTACTTTAGATGTATGAAAAATATCCCCGCTGAAAAACGTTTTTGAGGGTTCTGTGTAAATATTTGTTAAATATATGTTTCCTGTTGTTTTCTGACACTGAAAATGAATAACTTGTACTTAAGGGTTGTTTTGACTGGTAAATGAAATAAATGCAGGATAGATAGATAGATAGATAGATAGATAGATAGATAGATAGATAGACAAACAGACATGCAGACAAACAGGCAGATAGATAGATAGATAGATAGATAGATAGATAGATAGATAGATAGACAAACAGACATGCAGACAAACAGGCAGATAGATAGATAGATAGATAGATAGATAGATAGATAGATACATAATAAGACACATACATTTTAGCTCACCTTTCCATTTATGTAAATAACACGCTTCCCGGTGGTGGTTCCATGCTCAAATTCAATCTGGTAAATCCCGTCACTCAGAGACACTTCCCACATACCCACCACATCCTTTGACATTCTGCCTAATTAACTGCACTTGCAAACCTTCCGTCAGGTCACGTGTGTGTTTCCTCTATACTATCCTCGTTTTAATCAAATCCATGACATAATTACAATCTCTGTAGTTCTTAATTGCCTTTTTAAATTCCTCAGGGTACTGTCTGGGGATGTGTCCTATCCCGTCCCGTGCTCACTCAGCAACAAATGCATTAGTGCTAAGAGGCTTAAATTACCAGCCCAAGTGTACATGTGTGTGTGTGTGTGTGTGTGTGTGTGTGTGTGTGTAGCTAGGACCACATTTCCATTTGAGAGTGGTGGTCATTGATATTAGAGGAAAATGCTTCACTGCAGTAAAATCTTGAGGTCAAAGTACTGTACATGAATAGCATTCCGGAAAGTGATTGTAAATGTGTTGTTCAGCTTCAGTCCTTGTCTTTGTAAAATGGTAATTACAACCAGGAGGGAATGATTTTGGAAGTGTTTTCCTGGGTTCATGATTTTTTGGGTAACTTAACATAAGATTTGTCAGCTGTATATTTCAGACCAATGCAATCATCAAAATGTAACCTTTTTTTTTGCCCTGTGTTTTGGATCCTGCTTCACTAGAAGCGCTACCAGCAGATGGCAATCTCACTTTCACTCTCTCACACACCGTTCCCAATATATGGAGCGGTGGGATTAAATGCACCCACCCATGCAAGTTATCTGTCCAATGTCACAAATGTCCTTTTAAGACTTTTTTTTGTTTTATTTTGTGGTGCATTTCATCTCAATTAGTAATCAGTATTACTCTAATTTGCATGAAAATATTGGGATTGAATTATTATTTAAGCTTATGATTAAATTGTCGTCCTGTTTAGAGTAAAAAGTCCTTTGTCCCTTTATGAATCATTTTACAGCTTTACTTGTGAAGCAGTGTGTCCTGTAATGCAACAAATTGTAAGTTATTACAGAGAATTCAGTCACGTTGAGAAAAATATCGCTGTTGTCAGAAGAAAACCTTGTATCTGCATTTTTGTTGTTTTTCAGTTTTTGACATAATTTGAAAATACCTCTTGCCCCTTCTATTGTGTGTAAATTTTATGATGAATGGACTAAAAGGGACTAAAAGAAACGGCCCAAAATGACTTGGAAAAAGTCTGGTTCCATTGACTTACATTACAAGTAAAGTAGGTTTTTTCTTTCTCCTGTAAAGTAAACGTTTTGGAGATCTGAGGTTTACTTCTGACAGATACAAGGTTTCTTCTTCCTTCTTATGCTGTTTTGCCATAACTTCTAACACTGTGTTATTCTTAATGTCCCATAATTTGGGGGGGGGGGATTCTTTGCTGGAGTATGCCCCCTTTCAATAAATTATATTTTTTTATCACATGAACAAAAATATTAATAATTTAAACTACAAACTACAAACATTAAAACCACATCTCCATCTCCAATGTGATATTTTTTTCTTTTCTTTTTTTTGGTGGCATTTTTGGCCACTAGAGATCTATTGGCCATTTATTCCAACTGAATATAACTAAAACAAATTCACAAGGCTTGTAAGATTTGGGAATTCACCTTGGCTACTTCTTGGCTAATTGTTCTATTTGCACACATCTGGGCTAGTCAGTCTACTTGGTTACTTTTAGACTACAGTAAGACAATGGGCTACTTTAGTTTAGATGGCTACATCTACGCTGGTCAGTCTATTCAGGCTAGTTTAGTCTACTGGGCTACTTCCAGACTCCTTGTCTACATGGCTATTTTTAAGGCAGTAAGTTAGAAGTTATGGTTCTCTATTTCTTTGGCTAGTTTAGTCTATTTGGCTACTTCTAGGATAATCAGTCTACTTGTTGTCTTCTAGACTTGTTTAGTGTACTTGGCTACTTTTAGGATAGTTAATCTATTTGGCAACTTCATGACTAGTTTAACCTGGTTTGGTCTACTTGTCTACATCTAGGTTAGTCAGTGTACTCAGTTACTTTTAGACTAGTTTAATGCACTGGGCTACTTCTAGGCTACATTAGTCTACATGGCCACATCTCGGCTAGCCAGTCTACTCAGGCTTGTTTAGTCAACTGGGCTACTTCTCGATCCCTAGCCTACATGGCTATCTTTAAGATAGTAAGTCTATTTCCCTACTTTGGCTAGTTTAGTCTATTTGGCTACTTCATCTAGGTTAATCAGTGTTCTTGAATACTTTTAGACTAGTTTAATGCACTGGGCTTCCAGACTACTTTAGTCTACATGGCCACAGTTTGGCTAGTCAGTCTACTCAGGCTAGTTTAGTCAACTGGGCTAATTCCAGTTTTCTATCCCACATGGCTGGTTAAGATAGTAAGTCTATTTCCCTACTTGGGTTAGTTCGGCTTTGACAATTTCCAGGACAATCAGTCTACTTGTTGTCTTCTAGACTTGTTTAGTGTACTTGGCTACTATTAGAATAGTTACTCTAGTTGGCGACTTCATGACTAGTTTAGCCTGGTTTAGTCTACTTGGCTACATCTAGGTTAATCAGTGTACTCAGTTACTTTTAGACTAGTTTAATGCACTGGGCTACTTCCAGGCTACTGTAGTCTACATGGCCACATCTAGGTTAGTCAGTCAGCTACTTCTAGGCTCCTAGCCCACATGGCTAGTTAAGATAGTAAGTCTATTTCTCTACTTCCCTTCCTTACTTTGGCTAGTTTAGTCTATTTGGCTATTTCTAGGATGATCAGTCTACTTGTTGTCTTCTAGACTTGTTTAGTGTACTTGGCTACTATTAGGATAGTTAATCTATTCGGCGACTTCATGACTAGTTTAGCCTGGTTTAGTCTACATCTAGGCTAGTCAGTGTACTCGGTTACATTTGGACTAGTTTAATGCACTGGGCTACTTCTAGGTTACTTTAGTCTACATGGCCACAGTTAGTCAGTCTACTCAGGCTTATTCAGTCAACTGGGCTACTTCTAGATTCCTAGCCTACATGGCTATATTTAAGATAGTAAGTATATTTCCCTACTTTGCCTAGTTTAGTCTATTTGGCTATTTCTAGGATAATCAGTCTACTTGTTGTCTTCTAGGCTAGTTTAGTGTACTTGGTTACTATTAGGATAGTTAATCTATTTGGCGATTTCATGAGTAGTTTAGCCTGGTTTGGTCTACTTGGCTACATCTAGGTTAATCAGGGTTCTTGAATACTTTTAGACTAGTTTAATGCACTGGGCTACTTCTAGGCTACTTTAGTCTACATGGCCACAGTTTGGCTAGTCAGTCTACTCAGGGTGGTTTAACTTAGTCAACTGGGCTACTTCTAGATTCCTAGCCTACATGGCTATATTTAAGAGAGTAAGTCTATTGGCTAGTTTAGTCTATTTGGCTACTTCTAGGATAATCAGTCTACTTGTTGTCTTCTAGGCTAGTTTAGTGTACTTGGCTATTTAGCGACTTCACGACAAGTTCAGCCTGGTTTGGTCTACTTGGCTACTCGTAGGTTAGTTTAGCCTACTACTCCACCCATGCCACAGATTTTAGAACAGCCCTTTCAGCGCATGCGCTCACATTGAATGTGGGCGGAGCCGAGTCTCCACTAGCCAGTCCTAACGCAGCAGGCGTGATTTTGTCGGAATACGGGTGGGAAAAAAACGCGTGCTGTGCGCTCTGCCGTCCCTTCGTGAGCCTCTGGTCTCCACTCGTTCCTGTAACGCGTGGACCTTAGAGGGCGGTGAGAACCGATGGAGGCTATGGTCCCGTCCGTCGTGGGAGGGACAGAGGTGGTCTAAGCAGAGTAATCGAGATTTTTCTACGCCGTCAGCTGCAGGAAAAAGTCGAACAGGCAACAGGCTGCAGAGACTCGAGCGGTGAGTTTCTGCCTTCTTTTCGTGGAGTCAAGCTAAGGCGAGTGTTGACTGGGAAGACACGAAAACCAAGTCGCTGATTTTTACGTAGGTTACGAGTTAAGACGCTCTCCTGACAGTCTGAGGTTCCTTTAGCTCCGAAAGCGACCAGAAGAAGGGTGCAATTGTTCTCACTTCTCAGAAAACTTCTCTGACTCACCGGGAATACCGTTATATCGCTGACTTGAGACCTACGTGATGTTTGTTCACCTTCATTTGACTTTGCTGAATGTTTCCAGTATTAGGAAATCAGCTGGTTATTATTAGAGGATTATTCGTCCTCTGGGAAATCTACACAAACGTCTATCTTGCCTTAAAAACAGGCAATTAATAGAAGGCTTTCTGATGCCTTAATTTTGGATATTTGCCAGCGGATTTTCCTCCTGTGTCTTCACTATGATGAAGCTGTTTGAGCTCCATGTGGTTTTGTGTGCTCTGGTATGGACAGCACACGCTTCAGATTTCAAGTCGTTGTCGTCAGTGGCCACACATTTCAGGAAAACACGTAACCGTGCAGAGGAAGGCCATTCAGAATCCCAGTCAAACAGCATTGTCAGCAGTTATATGGACACTGTTGCACAATCTGCAAGCAGAGCTGCAGCCGTCTCAGGGAACCTGGCACCTCCTCAGGCAGATCAAGCTACAGATTCTTCAAGATCTCCGGTGAGGAGAGTCGTGAAGGGGCGTAGACCTGTACCAGCCAGGAAACCCGGCAATGTCCCGGCTCCGGACGCCAGTCCACCCCGTCAGGGTCCTCAGGTCTCCTCGTTCCGCATGCCCAATGGCACCAGCTCCATAAACGTCCTGGCTGGTTTTGCTGGGAGGAACCGCGTGCTGGTCATTTCGGCGCCGCATGAGTCGGACGGCTACTACAGGCTGATGATGAGTTTGCTCAAGCCGAACGTGTACTGTGAGATGGCGGACCGACACATGCAGCAGATTGTGATGTTCCACGAAAAGGGAGAGATGGGAGGGAAAGTGAGACGGGTCAGCAACCAGGGCTCCATCGCAGAGGAGCCGCTAGACCCGGACCTGGTGCCCAGGCTGATGAGCTTCCTGAAGCTGGAGGAGGGGAAGTTCGGCATGGTGCTGCTCAGGAAAACTCTGCAGGTGGAGGAGAGATACCCGTACCCAGTGCGGCTGGAGGCCATGTATGAAGTGATAGACCAGACGCCCATGCGGCGGCTCGAGAAGGCCAGGCAGAAAAGCTTTGTGGAGAGA